TGTGTGTGTGCCTGTCTTTCTTCACTGCCTCTGGGCAAGAAAAGAGAGTACTCTTTGTTTTATGAAACTAATGTGTATTTAGTTAAGGAAATGCAAACCTGTTGGCTCTTGCCAGTTATTTGACTTCATTATGACTAGAGCACAGGCTTTGTCTTGTCTCTTGTTGGGTGTGTACTTTATTTGTAGCATCGTAGTTAATGGGGAAGTTAATATTTAAATCAATTTCATGTGAAGTTGAGGAGAAACTGTGAGTTAGTGATGCAGTAACAGCCTAATGAACTCAGCCTGTCTGTTGTAAAATTAACATGTCAAATATGCCCACCAGGCTCCTCTGTCCATGGATTCTACAGGCAAGAATACTGGAGCCTTTTCCCACTCCAGGGGATCTTCCTGACCCAGGGGTCGAACCTGACTCTTCTGCATTGCAGACGGATTGCTTACTGTCTATATCCAGGAAGCCCTGATCTGGAGTTGGGTTGTGGGTACTACTGAGAATTTAGGTTTAGCTAAATATTTGTAAGACTGAGTCATGTCATAGCAATTGTTCATGTGTGCCAATAGCATAGCTTATTCCTTGTGAAATGTGTTGTTCAGACTCTTAATGGTTATTTTTGGTTAATCATTTAGTTCCAAGACATTTAATGACAAAATTGGTTTTATAAACCTTAGTTTTCTAATTTGCACCATGAAGATGATCCTTGACTATTTTAGGGTTGTTCCAGGGGTTACATGATGTATGAGGCATCCATGGTTCCTGACAGGCGTTCACTAAGTGTTAGTTACAATTGTGAACAGCACTATCCTGTAGATAATTCACATTAGGTGGTGTGTTGTGTGATTGTTGTCTTTATGGAGGCAGGAATTTCACATTTAAAACAGAGATCCACATGGTGAGAAACATCAGGTAAAGATAGGAAGTCCCATTCCTTTGCAGGCTCATTTGTTCCATTGGCATGGGAGGTTAGAAAGGGCAGAGAATAGTAAGGGGCTGGAGTCCTTGAAGAGCATGGGGCTTCCCAGGTGGCACTAGTGGTCAAAAACCTGCCTGCCAGCGTGGGAGACGTGAGAGATTCGGGTTGATCCCTGGGTCAGGACGGTCCTCTGCAGAGGCAGAGCAACCCACTCCGATGTTCTTGCCTGGAGAATCCCCAAGGACAGAGGAGCCTAGCGGGCTACAGTCCATAGGGTCGCACAGAGTCAGACTGCAGTGACTGACCTAGCACACACACAGAGTTCCTGAGGGAGATGAGATGAGCATAACACTGTTCTTGGAGCTGCACAGAATGATTTTATGTCTTTGTCATCTCTGCCCAATAGCTTTAAAAAAAGGGAACATGAGTTTCCTTTCCTGAGTGTATTATTCTAGATGTGTTAATGTCTGCTGCTACCTGTTAAAGCGTGGAGACAGAGGAGTGGGACTTTAACCTGTGGCCACATGTAATGGCTAGTAAGTTACTTATCATTTGAATACCATATTTCCTTCATTAGCACTTATTTGGCATTCTGAGATCTCTGAAATTGAGATGCTCCTTGCTTGACTATCTTCCACGTAGCACATGTGATGTAGCTATCATGGTCTACACACGTGTGGGCTTGGTCATAGCTGTTCCTGCCACCATGGCAGCCCAGTTACTTGCCCTGTTGGTGCTGCATGGTTAGTTCAGTTCAGTTCAGTTGCTCAGTCGTGTCCGACTCTTTGCGACCCTATGAATCGCAGTATGCCAGGCCTCCCTGTCCATCACCAAATCCCAGAGTTTACTCAGACTCACGTCCATCGAGTTGGTGATGCCATCCAACCATCTCATCCTCTGTCGCCCCCTTCTCCTCCTCCCCCCAATCCCTCCCAGCATCAGGGTCTTTTCCAGTGAGTCAACTCTTCGCATCAGGTGGCCAAATAGAGTTTTAGCTTCAGCATCAGTCCTTCCAGTGAACGCCCAGGACTGATCTCCTTTAGGATGGACTGGTTGGATCTCCTTGCAGTCCAAGGGACTCTCAAGATTTTTTTCCAACACCACAGGTCAGAAGCATCAATTTTTCGGCGCTCAGCTTTGTTCACAGTCCAACTCTTACATCCACACATGACCACTGGAAAAACATAGCCTTGACTAGACGAACCTTTGTTGGCAAAGTAATATCTCTGCTTTTAAATATGCTATCTAGGTTGGTCATAACTTTCCTCCCAAGGAATAAGCGTCTTTTAATTTCATGGCTGCAATCACCATCTGCAGTGATTTTTGGAGCCCAGAAAAATAAAGTCTGCCACTGTTTCCCCATCTATTTGCCATGAAGTGATGGGACCAGATGCCATGGTCTTAGTTTTCTGAATTAAGCCAACTCTTTGACTCTCCTCTTTCACTTTCATCAAGAGGCTTTTTAGTTCCTCTTCACTTTCTGCCATAATGGTGGTGTCATCTGCACATCTGAGGTTATTGATATTTCTCCCGGCAGTCTTGATTCCAGCTTGTGTTTCTTCAAGCCTAGCATTTCTCATGATGTACTCTGCATATAAGTTAAATAAGCAAGGTATTAGTTTAATTTGCCATCTAAAATGACTTTAAAAAGATCCCACTATGATTCAACAGTGAAACAAACAAAAACTATGAAGAAAAGCATAGAAACAGAACAGCAGGGTACAGATTTGATTTTATGTGAAGTAAAATATTTGTCTTTGGAGGAATGATTGCAATTTCAGATTTTCTTGCAAAACTACAATCAAATGTATCATGGGACCTCAGAAAGGTGTTTTAAGCCTTTTTGGTTGTTGTTGCTGAGAAATATGCAAGAGAGTTACTTAATGCATGCCCGGCTGTGCACCTGAAAGCAGGGTGAATTGTTCTGTTTCTCAACATAAATGAGACATTTTGGAGCCACAAGAAGCTGACGTGACCAGTTCATGTGTCTGCTAGGACTGTCGTGAAGGTCTTGTGTCATAGTGTAAGTAGCAGCAGTTTTTCTCTCTGGTGGCACCATTTTATAACTGATGGCACCTTAGATTCAGTCTCTTTTAGTGTTTACCTCTCTAGCTCATGATGGTAACTTATTTGGAACTGATTATTCTACAGAGTAATTAAAACTGCTTATATAAAGGCAGCTAGAATAAAAATAGGAAACTTGCTAAGATCAAGGTCAAAATTTCAGAATAAAATATTTGCATTGTTTTGCATTAAGTAGGCATTCTTGCCTGTTTTCTTCGTCTTCTCAGATATAGCATGACATAGAGGTTAGGGTGCAGACTCTGGAGTCGGGCAGCCTGGAGTCCAATCCCAGCTCCAACCCTTACTAGCAGTGACTTTCTGTAAGTTACTCAGCCTCTCTGTGTCTCAGTCTTCTGTCAGATGGGTGCAGTGTCTCTCTCACAGGTTTGTTCCGAGAGAGAAAGGAGTTAATACCTCTGAAGTGTTTTGAACATCACCTGGTGGGAAGTAAGCAGTGTGTGTGAGCTGTTATTCCATCTGGCATTGTCTTTTGTTGATACACCGAGTGGTCTGAGGTGAAGGTATGTTTGTCTGTCCCACTCTTCCCTTCTTGGTTCCAGTTCAGCCTGATATGCTACCCATTTCCCCTTCCCAGTTGTTATTCCATCCTTTTTTGGGTACGTCAGTTTGAACTTTTTAGGAAATTGGGTATGATCGAGCTATATAGATTCACACACTTTTACACAGTATGATCAACGGAATTAGGATTTGTTTGGAAACAGACTTTTTGATGCTTCACTTTTCTAAGCATCACATGCTGTGTGTGTTCAGTGTTTCCCAAAGTTAGCTTTGGACACTTCTTCGTGCGAAAGTCCCTCTCCCAGTGCCCAGGCAGTGACTGCCCGAGACAGATGCCCAGCCTCCAGGACTGCTGGCTCAGCAGGGTAGGGTTCCATTTCGAGCCTATGACCACGGCCTGTGACTAGAACAGAAAGACTGTTGATGCTTTTCTGAGGACTGTAGAGGGGTGTTTCAGTTCGTTTTTTCTAGTGCATGATACTTGAGTGTTGCATTGGGCCCTCAGCTGTTGAAGAACAGAGGATACTGTTTCTCTCACAGTTGGCAGGGAGCTAGACTGCCTCTTGGAGACACAGCGCTAACTGAAAGATAGTTAGTGGTCACACATCAGCTGTTGATTTGGGGCTTCATTCTAGGATACCCTTAAGAATAGTATAAATTAGATTTCTGCTGGTTGGACTAAATATGAACAGTTTCGTTTTCAGTATCCATCTGAAAGATCACTGTGTCTTCACTTGGGCCAATTGACTGTTTAGGTTGATCTTACTTGTAAATAGGTGTTTTGTGTTAACTTTTGTCTTTGTGCAAAACAGGACAAAATGCTTAGTGAAGACTTTGAGGCTGAAAGGGGTTATAAACTGATCATGTAGCATGGAAGGTTTTGCCATGATTCAGATTAATGAAGAGAAAACACTCCATACTTTATTCTCTCTGGAATTTTATTTATAATTCAGAAAATTCCAGCTTTATCTATACTTCTTTTTAAGCAATCAGACCTAAAGTTTCAAATGTGACATTGGTGATATCGTTTGTTAATTACATGATCGGAAATTTATTGTCAGTGAAAAATGACACACACAAATGGCATGTGCAGTGAAGCTTAAAATAGCACATCTTCACATCCGTGCAAATTCCCTGGACTCCTTATAGTGACCTACTTACGCACTGCTCACAGAGAGAAACATGAGGCACTTTAAGTGCCCATTAGGGCTAGAATATTACTTTTAAATGTTTTGTGTATTTGTAGTTTTACTTTTTACTTGTATTTCTTCCACAAGTGCCAAAAGCACTTTCTATGATTAAGCTTTTAAAAGAGTAATACATTTGACATTTCACAATGTGTGTGACAGCCAGTACCTTGTTGCTTGGAGCTTGTTGGTTTTTTAAAGTAAGAAATACAGCTCTCAGACCTGTTTACCCTAGATGTTTATGTCTCTTCTTTACGTGTATCCAGGTTTACTTTCTGATTGACACGTGTCTTATGTTCATTTTTTTCCTCAAATACAGAGCTGTCAAATGCTGTTGAATCAACTGAGAGAAATCACAGGCATTCAGGACCCTTCTTTTCTTCATGAAGCTCTGAAGGTTAGTTCAAGGCCTCTATGAGTCAACAGGTTTTAGAACAGTTGTTCATATCGTAGTTATGTCAGTTCAGGCTATTTTTATGCCAAAATGAAAGTGCATATGTATAGGGACAGAAGTTCTAGAGGTCAAATGACCCAGCATCTTCAACCTGTAAATTATAAGAGCAGGAAAAGTTGAGGATGGAAGAGACAGTGCAGGGAACTCTGCAGAGATTTAAGATACATATCAACTAACTGCCCTGTATGGGCCTTTTTTTATGGATCCTGATTCACACTAAAAAATACTTGAGTCAGGGCAATTTAAACTGGTTATTGTGTGAGGACAGCACTGTGGGTTGTATATTTTTTTAAAGATACATTCTGAAATGTTGAATGATGATGTAATAAGATGCTTAGGATTTGCTTCAGAATATCTGAGGGAGGGAAGGCAGAAGAGATAAAATAAGATTGACTGGCTCAGTGACTATCGAAGTCGAGTGATGGGCACTTGGGATTCAGTTATATGTTCTCACTTCTGTCGTATACATTAGAATTTTTCCCTAAGGAAAGTTTAAAAAGTTAAAACGAAATAGAAGTATGGTCACCACTTGAGAATATGATGACTGGTACCTTTATTGTAGGGGCTGACTTCATTTGGAGTCTGATACATCATGCCTTAGCCATTATGCAATCAGGAGGAGGAGTATCCAAAGCAATGAGGTTTCTTTCTTGTTTGCATGCTGTGGGAAATCAGCACGTGGCGCTCCTGTCCTGTACCTGAGAGTGTGATAGCATCGCTTCAAGTTTCCTACTGTATATCCTAGAATTATGCCTAGATTTAGTGTGACACTAGGGTAGTAAGGAGTTATAACCCCCAAACTCACTTGCTGTTTACTTTAAATGCCATGATGTTTGACTTTTGAAATTTGTTTTTTTCCCTCCCCTTAGGCCAGTAATGGTGACATCACCCAAGCAGTCAGCCTTCTCACTGATGAAAGAGTTAAAGAGCCCAGCCAAGAGACTGCTGCAGAACCATCTGAAGAAGAGGGGAGTGCTGCCAGCAAAGAGGAATTAACAAGTAGGTATATCCTGGTGGGCCCTTTTCTGAACTAGCAGAAATTAAGAGATGAGTTTCTGTGAGTGTCCTTTCCATCACATCAACCCTTTGGAAATAATGGTAATCATGGCTAATTACTGAGCCATAATGAGGTGCCAGGCACAATTCTCAGCACTTAAATGGTTCCATTCATTCAGCAGTTATTTAATGAGCCCCTGTTAGGTGCCAAGCACTCTTTTAGGCACTGGAGATGAACAAAAGGAACAAGAATTGCTGCCTTGTAAGAGATGAGGCTGTGGAGGGAGCGAACAGGAGGCAGATCATGCAGAGGCTTCATAGCTGCTTGGCTTGTGCTCTGAGCCGGAGGACCAGCCATTGGAGAATTTGCTGCAGAGGAATGCTGTAAACTGGTTTCCACTTCCTAAGGATCATTCTGGCCGCTGTGTTGAGAACAGAACTATGAGGGGGAGTAGTGAGCATGGGGCCGAGAAGGGAGCCCAGCACTATTCAGGAAGCTATCACTGATGAGGGCAGTATGGGCCAGGATGCAGTGGTGGAAGGGTGACACGTGCTTGTTGCACAGGATCTGCTTACAAAGGAGATGAGGGCTGTGACAAAAAAGGGAAGGATTAAAGATGACTCCAGGATTTTTTCCTAAGCAGCTGAAAGGGTGGAGTTGTACTTAACTGACATGGGAATAATTACTGATGGAGCAGATTTGGGGTGGAAAATAAGAAGATCGATTTTGGCAATATTAAATTTGAGAGGCCTATTAGACATCAAGATGGAGTGTCAGAAAGACCGTGGAGATCCAGGTATGCCGTTCAGGGGAGAGAGCTGGGCTGGACCTGAATCAGACTTGAAATCATAAACTTGTAAATGGTACATAAAGTTATGAGAAAGGATGAGCTCTCCTAGGGAGCGGGTAGAGAAACGAGAAAAGCTTTCGTGTCTCAGCAGTAGGTACTTCCACTGTTGAGATATCTGGGGAAGGTGGAGGGGGCATTGAAGAATGTATAGAGGCATAGCAGGAAGACCCAGAGAGTGGTACTCTGGAGACCAGAGAGAATTCTCGGAGGAGGACCTGTCAGCTGGGTCAGGTGGTATTAATGGATATTTGGGCAATTTCAAGCTATTCTGAGTGCTGCTGCTGTGAGTATTCTTCTATATGTCTTTGAGTGCACAGTGACTTATTTCAGTCCATATTTTTCTTTTTGAGATGCATCCGTGTTGGCTATACCTGTAGTTATTTCTTTTCATGTGTAGTATTTCTTGTTCTGAATATACAAGAGAATTGATACATTTGTTGATTGACTTTGGAGTTGTTTTGAATTTTTTTTGCCATTATGAACAAATCTACTGTGAGCTGTATTGATTTGTGTTTTTTCGTGCACGTATGCTAGAGTTTTCTTTAGTGTTTAAAAACTCACGATGTAATCGGTAAGTACTGAAACATGCCCATCTTCATCTTAGTAGGTATTGGGTGTCTCAGACGGTAAGGAATCCGCCTGTAATGTGGAAATCCTGGGTTTGACCCCTGGGTTGGGAGGATCCCCCTGGAGGGAAAGGCTACCCACTCCAGTGTTCTTACCTGGAGAATCCCCATGGACAGAGGGGCCTGGTAGGCTACAGTCTGTGGGGACACAAAGGGTCAGACACAACTGAGCGACTAAGCACACAGCATTAGTGACAGTAGTTTCTGAAATGATTTTTTTAACCTATGTATACTCCCACTAATAGAGTTTGAGGGTAACTCTTGCTCTTAGAATTGTTAGATTGTAAAATTGTTGCTTGTGTTTTTGATATAAAATGATCGTCTTGTTTTTAACTAGAATTTTTAAAAAATTAAATAATGATACTGATCATCTTTTCCCTTTTTACAGTTCATGTTTCTTCATGTGACATTTCTCTTAGTATCTTCTGCTGGTTTTTCTGTTTGTTTCTTTGTATTGATTCTTGATATTCTTACTGATACTGACCTTATTTTCTTGATATGAATCCTTTTTTTGGACTTGGCATTGCAGATAGCTTCTTGTTGATGACCTTTGTATTTCCTCTGTGGTGATGAGCTAATAAATAGCTTAATTTATTAATCTTCTGCTGTGGTTTATGCTTTTTGTTTAAGAACTCCTATACCATGATGTCATAGGATATTCTGTTACATTTTCTTCTAAAATTGTAATGTTTTGCTTTTCACATTTAAATATTTAATTCATCTGAAATGGATTATTTTGGTAAGACATAAGATAGAAATATAATTAGATCCATCACTGCCCCCCAACACTTCTCCTAGCTATCCAGGACCTTTTATTGAAAAGGCAGAACTTTCCCACTGATCTGCAGTATTAGTTCTGTTACATTATTTTCGTGTTTTCCATTTTACTTCATTATCTGTTTTTAATTCTTTGCAGTATATACATAGGAGTGGAATTGCTAGATCATATAACAATTTGTGCTTAAGTTAAAATTCTAGAATACCTTTTTTTATAACTGCAATATTATCACACTTAAAACTTAATAACAATTTCTTAATCTCATCAAATACTATTGAAGAAATTTCCCAGATTGTCTCGTGAACAATATGTTGGTAGTTGGTTTAGAGTATAATGACCCACATAAAATAAAACATTAAGCTATGTTTGAAGTCTGGTTCAAGATGGCAGATAATAGAAGGATGTGCACTCATCTCCTCCTGCGAGAGGACCACAATTGCAGCTAGCTTTGCAGGAGGACAACCTGCAGAAATTTGCAGCTAGACAGGTTGATACTGCTGCTGCTGCTCCTGCCAAGTTGCTTCAGTCGTGTCCGACTCTGTGCAACCCCATAGACTGCAGCCCACCAGGCTCCGCCGTCCCTGGGATTCTCCAGGCAAGAACACTGGAGTGGGTTGCCATTTCCTTCTCCAGTGTGTGAAAGTGAAAAGTGAAAGTGAAGTTGTTCAGTTGTGTCTGACTCTTTGAAACCCCATGGACTGCAGTCTACCAGGCTCCTCTGTCCATGGGATTTTCCAGGCAAGAGTACTGGAATGGGTTGCCATTGCCTTCTCCATAGGATGACACTGGAACCCACCAAAAGAAGATACCCCACATCCAAAGAAAAAGAAGAAGCCACAGTTAGACAGCAGGAGGCATACAGTCATGTAAAAAATCAAATCCCATACCTGCTGGGTGGGTGACCCACAGGCTGGAGAACAGTAATGCCAAAGAAGTTCTCTCACTGTTGTGAAGGTTCTGAACCCCATGTCAGGCTTCCCAGCCTTGGGATCCAACAAAGGGACTGGAAGGCCAGGGAATCTGGCCTTAAAGGCCAGCAGGATTTGATTATAGGATTTCCAGAGGACTGAGGGCAAAAGAAGACTCCAGTCTTGGAGGACATAAACAAAATTTTGTGTGCACCAAGACCAGAGGAGAGGAGCAATGACCCCACAGGAGGCTGAACCAAAACCACCTGCTAGGCTGGAGGGCCTCCTGTGGAGGCGTGGGTTAGCAGGGGCTCACCACAGAGACAAGGGCACCAGAAGGTCCCCCTTGGTGTAAACCCTTTTGGAGGTTGCCATTAACCCTACCATAGAGCCTGTAGACCCCAGGGCCGGGTTGCCTCAGGCCAAACAACTACAAGGGCGGGAGTGCAACCCCACCCATCAACAGATACTTGGACCAAAGCTTTACTGAGCAAGGCCCTGGCCAGCTGAGCAAGACCCAGTTTTTCCTGTCACCAGTCTCTCCCATCAAGAAGCTTACATAAGCCTCTTAGCCTCGTCCATCGGAGGGCGGACAGAAGAAGCAAGAAGCAGCACTGTCTCACAAATGACTAAAACAAAACGTATTACAGAAAGTTAATCACCGTGAAAAAGCAGAAAGTTATGTATTAGGTGAAGGGATGAGATAAGATCCTAAAAAAAAACAACTAAATGAAGTGGAGATAGGCAACCTTATGGAAAATGAATTCAGAATAATGGTCATGAAGATGATCCAGGATCTCAGAAGAGAGTGTAGACAAAGATTGAGAAGGTGCAAGAAATGTTTACCAGAGACCTAGAAGAACCAAAGAGCAGACAAATAGAGATGAATAATACACTAGAAGGTGTCAGCAGCAGAATAACTGAAGCAGAAGAATGGATAAAAGACCTGGAGGAAAGAGTCGTGGAAATGACTGCCACATAACAGAATATAGAAAAAAGAAAGAAAAGAAATGAAGACAGCCTAAGAGACCTCTGGGACAATGGTAAACACACCAACATTCACGTTATATGCATCCCGAAGGAAAAAAGAGAAAAGATCTGAGAAATATTTAAAGAGATAATGACTGAAAACTTCCTGAACATGGGAAAGGAAATAGCTAAGCCCAGGAAGCACAGAGAGTCCCAGGAAGGATAAACCCAAGGAGGAACACGCCAAGACACATAGTAATCAAACTGACGAAAATTAAAGACAAATAAAATATTAGAAGGGAACCGTCATCAGGCTGTCAGCCGATTTCTCAACAGAAGCTCTGCAAGCCAGAAGGGCATGGCATGATATATTTAAAGTGATGAAAGGGAAGAACCTACAACCAAGAATACTCTACTCAGCAAGACTGCCCTTCAGGTTTAATGGAGAAATCAAAAGCTTTCCAAACAAGCAAAAGTTAAGAGAATTCAGCACCACCAAACCAGCTTTACAACAAATGCTAAAGGAACTTCTCTAGGCAGAAAACACAAGAGAAGGAAAAGACCTACAGAAAATAAATCCAAAACAATTAAGAAAACAGTAATAGGGTCATACATATCGCTAATTACCTTAAATGTAAACAGATTAAATGCATCAACCAAAAGACATAGACTTGCTGGGCAGATGAAAACATGTGCATGTATGCACTTCCATTTACCACATCACTCTGCTTGACCCCCCCCTCCCAAATTGTATGTAATTATTTTATATTATTCAGTTAATCATGTTCCCATTATGGCTTGCAGTTGTAATTATCTTTTATTTTTTGTCTGGCTATTGGTTGTGAAAACAGATAAACATCTTTTACTATTG